GGATAGGGCACTGGGCCTATCAGAAGACTCATCTTCCTGATTTCAAATCCAGCCTCAGACACTTCTTACTAGCTGGGTGACCCTAAACAAGTCACTTAACCCTGTTTGCCTCAATTTCCGCACCTGTAAAATGAGCTGGAGAAGGAAATAGCAATCCGTCCAGTATCTCTGCTAAGAAAATCCCAGATGGGTCATGGAATGTCACAGGTGACTGAAACAACTGAACTGATTTATCATCTCACACGTCTTTTTAATTTTGATTATCATTATGTTTTCTTTGATTTCCAAGGCTTCTGCATTTGTATTTGTCTTGAAGTTACTAGCTTGTTGATTTTCTAGTTGGTTTTTTTTTCAGTTGCATGGTCAGTTCACTGATTGATTCTAGTTTTTATGGTATTAGAGCCAACATAGCATAACTTAACTCAACACAACACAACACAACACAACACAAGGTTAACATGCTGAGAGCCAGGTAGACCTGGGCTGAAATCCCCAGTTCTGATGCATAGTGGCTGTGGCTGTCACTCAGGGCAAAACACTCAGCCTACCAGAGCTCTAGGGAACCCTCCAAACCCAGAAGGTTATGCATTGGTGGAGAGAGTTTCGTCACACAGTAGTTCCTTATACTGGTGAAATCTTGGGTCCAGTCACTATTCCTATTGCCTCCAAAGTATGAGGTTCACATTTCTGCCTTTCTGCATGCATTGATGAATTGGGTTCTACATGCGGTTCCATGAGGTCACTTTTTGGAGAGTTGATAGGCAATGTTGAAAAGGATCTATATTTCACAAGATACTCATCCATTAATCACTCGAGATCCATCACATTAAATTTTTCCATCTTTCTGTTCAGAACCTTAACTTCTTTATTATTTACTTTTCTATTAGACTTGTCCAGATCTCAAAGAGATATGTTGAATTCCCCACCAATAATTGTCTACTATCCAGGTCCTCCTGTAATTCATGTAGCTTTTCCCCTAAGTACAGTTATCATTTGGCACACATGTGTAATATAGACATTGTTTCATTATCTTTGATGACTTTAAACACAGTGTAGTTTCCCTTCTTAACTATTTTCACCATATTTGTTTTTATTGTTGCTATGTCTAAGGTCAAGAATGCCAATCTTGGGGCAGCTAGGTGGCGCAGTAGTTAGAGTACTGACCCTGGATTCAGGAGCACCTGAGTTCAAATCCGGCCTCAGACATGTAACACTTCCTAGTTGTATGATCCTGAGCAAGTCACCTAACCCCATTTCCCAGCCAAAAAAAAAAAAAGAATTCCAGTCTTGCTTTTTGGGAGATTCTATTGAGGCATAATAAATAATATGTGTCCATATTAACAGAACCAAAGGGAGAGAAACCAAACAACTCAATCTAAGAAAGACATCAACTGAGCAAACCCAGGTTCCAGTGGATTAATAAGTGACTCCTACTAGACACTCAAAGAATAACGAACCCCAGGAGATAGAAATGGTTTATGAAAATAGAGAAAAGGGGCATCTTCCCTTCTCTTCCCATCTTATCCAACTCTTAGCCTTTTATACAGAGAAATAGAACCATAGACCAATATCACCAGTGAATATTGATGCAAAAATATACATATACATTAGCAAAACAGTACAGTCAAAGAATTATTCGCTGTGACCCAGTTGGATTTATGCCAAGAATAGAGGAGTGGTTCAACATCAGGAAAATGATCAACATAAAAAAATTATATTAAGGAAGAGCCATTTATTAAGCTCCAACTACGTGCCAGGCACTGTCCTAAGTGCTTTTACAAATGTTATGTCAATTAGTCTTCACAACAACCCTGGGGGGGTAGGTGCTTTTATTGCCCCCATTTTTGAACTGAGGAAATGGAGGCAAACAAGTTAAGTGACTTGCTCAAGGCCACATAACTAGTAAGTGTCAGAGGCCAGACTTGAACTCAAGTCTTCCAGACACTGGGTCCAACATTTTCTCCTCTGCACCACCAGTAATAAAATAATTAAAATTCCATGATTATCATAGATTCAGGGAGAAAAACCTTTGACAAAATGCGCCATTTATTTATGATCAAGATGCCAGAGAACATGGGAACAAAAGGATTCTTCCACAATATAAAGCTTCTATTTAAACTCTGAGAGCTGGAAAGGTTAAAGGGACAGAGTCAGCATGTTTTCAGGCAAAGCGTGGGCTTGTGTGGAGGGCAAGACAAGGACCTCTCAGAGGCAGCATTGACGAGAAAGAAAACAGGGCTTTAAAGGTTCTGTTACCTTTTGATAACTCTTCATAATTTAAATCAAGTAGCAAAAAGGAAACAAATTATAAAATTAGGAAGAGAAAGGAAAATCAAAGGAAGATCTCATTATTTTTTTATTATGAAGTTGACAAACATCAAGTATGAACATTTCCCTATACAAAGAACAGGAGAAGGGGGTTGTACATGAGAGTGTGAATCTTATGCTTCACTTTGGTTTATATGGATGTGTGTGTGTGTGTGTGTGTGTGTGTTCAAATTGGACATAGTAGTGCCAACGCTGCTCTGTTTGTCTGTGTCCCCTTCTCCACGTCCTTCCATTTTCTTTTCCTTGTTTTCTTCTTCTTCGTTTGTGTAACTATCTATTTCCTCAAAAAAGGGAAGGGAGGTTTATGAGGGCAACCTCAGCCTCCCTTCTATTAAATAAATGTAGTCGACCAAAACAAATTCACACATTGGTTGTGCCTGAAAACCTTTGGTCCCATCCTACACCTGTAGTCTATCACCTGTATGCCAAGAGGAAGAAAACACGTTTCCCATCCTCAGTCTTCTGGGGGCACAACTGGTCATTCCTTCCTTCCTTGGCTGTAGAAGCCTTCTTAATGACATCGCAGGGGTAGAACAACGACGTCTACTTATGATACAGTTCTAGAAAGGCTAGCTACAGGAGCATGAGAAGTAAAGGAAACCAAGCATATAAACCTAGGCAAAGGAGACGAGAAATCGTCTCCATTAGCCAATGACAGGATTGTTTACACAGAAAACCCCAGAAATTCTACAAAAAAGCATAGTTTCAATAAAATAGGAAACAAAATAAACCAACAAAGAATGTTTGTACATCTCCCTACTAATCCCTACTAATCAAAATAGCTTCAAGATACATTAAATGTCTAGGGGCTAGTTTACCAAAACACACCCTAACAGTAATCTCCTTACAGAGAATCCCACATGTCACAGAACAGGTGCTCCACTTTTAGACAGCTCTAATTAGTAGGAAGTTTTTTCTTATATCAGCTCTAAACTGATCTATTCAAAATTTCCACCCATCAGTCCTACTTCTGGGCAGGCAGAAGAAATCAGACCTCTAATACCTAGCAGTACGAGATCAGGGATAGAGCACTGGACTTGGAGTCGGGAAGACCTGGGTTCAAATATAGCCTCAGACACTTATCAGTGGGGTGACCCTTGGCAAGTCACTTTGAATAGGTCTAGAGGTCTAGAGGTTTGGGGTGCTCCTGGGAACCCCTGAGATTGAGACGCCAGGACCTGGGTGAAAGAATTCAACTCAACTCTTCTTCCAGCCAGAGGAAAAGTTTATTAGCGATAAATCACATAGGCCAGGTGATGCCCGTAAGGATGAGTGAGCATGAGAAAGTCTCAGCCTTTTGCGCATGAGATTCTCAGCGTCTCAATGGGAGCCAGAGTAGATCTTACAAAGTAATTTTGGGTGGCCAGACTAGGGGGCTGGGAAAAGGGTCTAGGTAAGAATTGCAATTGGAAGGTCTGAGAGATTGAATAGACAATGGGAATAGGTAATGAAGGGAACTGGACGGCAGAAGTTTGAAAGGTATCTGCATGAGATCAAAAGGTGGGGTGCTAGGGCTTTCAAAGGGAGATAAGGGGAGTCCACAAGGAACCGTTTGACACCAGACTAAGGGCTTTCTGGGGCCCATAGACAAAAGGGAGCCAGATTCTTTTAGGGCAAGGGGCAAAGGTACATCTGAATAAGCTTAAAAGGTAAGGCTAAGGCTTTCAAAGGGAGATGAGAGGCTGGGGCCTGTAGACAAAGAGGAGCCAGATTTCCTTTGGATCAAGGGGCTAAGACCTTGGCTTGGGCCACACCCCATCAACTTCATCTCTCTGGGCCTCAGTTTCCTCATCTGAAAAATGAGGGGTTGGACTCAATGACCTCTAAGGTCCCTTCCAGCTCTGAATTTCTGATTCTATGATCTTCTTGTCACCAATATGAATGGCCCCAGTTACTTCAGCTAATATTTATATGATCTAAATCAGAGGCCCTCTACTGCCTTAGAGGTTCTCCAGCTTCTCAATGTGTCCCTTCTAACATGTGGTAGGGAGAACTGAGGACTGTGATCCAGATGTGATCTGACCAGGGTAGAGGACAACAACAGTATAACCCAAACTCTCAGTGTGCCCAAGAGTGCCCTAGCACCTTTGGTGGCCAGCTCACTCTGGGCTAGTGAGATTCAGGATTTTGGCAGGAACTGGACTAGCCTTCTGAAGTCCCTTACAACTTGGAAGCAAATACTCTTCATTGTCTGTTCCTTTCAGTCTGGGACACAAGATTGGAGAACCAGAAATTAGTGGAAACACAAGAAGTATCATCAGGCACATTCATGGGAAGAGGAAATATTCTTCAGAATGACCTAGTGGAGGAGAGTCCTGTTGAGGAATTCAGGCTGTGGGAGCAAATGAGAAATCTTGCAGTGGAAGCTCCAGAGGAAGTCCTTGCCCAAGAAGGGGACTTCAGTGAACTGACTCTCCTTCCCAAGGAAACCTCCAGTGGTCAGAGAGGTGATGAATACAATGACTTTGAGAGTAAATCCAGGCACACAAGCTCATGCCATCATAACAGATGTCGGAATCTCTCCTATTACCAGCCAACCTTTATTCCACACGAGAGGCTACAGAGGACTGAGAGGGCCTCTGAATGTGAGGACTATGAAAAGGCTGTTAGCCAGAACTCACATCCTGTCCAACCTCAGAGTGTTCGTACTATAAAGAAACCTTTTGAATGTAAGGAATGTGGAAAGTGTTTTAGCTGGAGTTCAGGACTTATTGAACATCAGAGAATTCACACTGGAGAGAAACCATACAAATGTAAAGAATGTGGGAAGGCCTTCAGCCAAAACTCAACTCTTACTCGCCATGACAGAATTCACACTAGAGAGAAACCATATACATGTAAGGAATGTGGGAAGGCCTTCATCCAGATCTCAGCCCTTATTATGCATGAAAGAACTCACAGTGGAGAAAAACCTTATAAATGTGAGGAATGTGGAAAATTCTTCAGTCAGCGCTCCAATCTTGCACAACATCATAAAATTCACACTGGAGAGAAACCTTATAAATGTAAAGAATGTGGGAAAGCCTTCAGCCAGAGCTCAGCCCTTACCACACATGAAAGAATTCACAGTGGAGAGAAACCTTATGAATGTGAGAAATGTGGAAAATCCTTCAGTCAACGCTCAAACCTCACTCAGCATCAGAGAATCCACACAGGAGAGAAACATTATGAATGCCATTGACGTTCATTCAGAGGAAGGACCTTTACCGTCTGAGGATTCATGCTGGAGAAATGCTCTGTAGAAATGTAATGACTGGAGGCAGCTAGGTGGCACAGTGGATAGAGCACCAGCCCTGAAAGCAGCAGGATCTGAGTTCAAATCTGGCCTCAGATCAAACACTTGACTTACTGACTGTGTGACCCTGGGCAAGTCACTTAACCCCAATTGACTAAAAATAAAAATAAATAAAAGAAATGTAATTACCATGGCATAACTTTCACTGTGGAGAAGACTTATTGAAAATTGTAAACACCACCCTGGACAGAAACCCTAAGAATCCCAAGAAATGTCGAAAAGCCTTCAAACTGTGGTCTCCCCTGATCCACCATAAATGAACTTGTTCTGGAGGGATTCCTACAAAGGGAAAGATTGTAGGAAATGGATAAGTGGTCATGTCTAAGCTCAGCTTTCCTCCATCACCACAAAACAAGAAATATTCCACATAAAATGATATAAAATGTTTAAACGAAATAAATAGGAAGAACAGACAGAAATCCGTATAGGAAAAATCCTGCAGAAAGGCCAGCTAAAAGACAGAAATACTGAATAAACAGGAAGCTCCTAATATTCTAAATAGATTCTATGGGCAAAAAAGTTCCAACAAATCTTGGAGGAGAGGAAGTATATTGTGATATCAATTACACATCCCCAGAAATGAGAATACAACTATTGCAAGACACCTGATGTCCACCACAATTAAAAAACTTTTAAAGGATTAAAAGGGGGCCGCATGGTATGGTCTTTAGAGATCTGGCCTCAGAATTAGGAAAATTTGGATTTAAGTCCTGTCTCTGATACATGCTATCCAAGGCTGTGTGCAAATCACCTAATAAGTCAATCCATAAACATCAAATGCCTACTATGTTCCAGGCACTGTGCTAAGTGCTGAGGATACAAAAAGAGCCAAAAGATAGTCTCTGCCCTCAAGGAGCTTACAATCTAATGGGGTAAACAACATACAAAGATATACAAAGTAAGCGATGTAAAGGATAAATGGGAAATAACAGAGGGAATCTCAGTGACCCAGGTAGCTTTATAAAACTAGATGCCAACTCAATTCATGGAGGAGTTTACTCAGTGAGAATTCCCTATATCAATGGAATCACAAATGCAGTTTAAAAAAAAAGATTAAAAGGAGATATGAAGGAAATTCAAGTTCTTAAATATAAATTCAGAAATGCAAACAAAAGAATTAGTTTAGAAGAACAGTTGGAAAGTATTAACAAATAGTGGACACCCTGATAGACAGTGGTAGAAGTAGACCCCCAAAATATCAAGATGCAACAAGAGATAGAAGAGCAACATTGAAAGACAGAAATATTGGAACAATTGAGATCTCACCAACTCAGAAGCATAGAACTTATAGAAAGAGCTTGGCCAAGACCCAGAAGCAACCCAGTTTAGTAGTCCTATGTTCAATAAATACCCAAACACAGACTCCCAAGGGAAAGAGTTCTTATTTTATAAGGACCTCTGGGAAAACTGGGGAAATGGTTTCACTATTTACACTGGTTCTTTTTAAAATTAATTTTTATTTTTTCTTCTAAACTTAAACACCAAAAAAAAATCGTTATGTACAACAGAGACTGTGAATCTACATTTTATAACCACTTTTTTTAGTATATAATAAATACATTTCAAAGCTGTCCTATTTGTCTATGCTTCTTTCTGAAATTCCTCCTATTCTGTTCTGTGTCTTAAAATATTTTAATGGACTTCTTTTGGCATCACTATTGCTAACATTCCCTCTCTCACCTCCTTCCTCCCTCCATTAAAAATGAGAAAAAGAAATGAAATAAAAACCTATTGTAGGATATGGTGAAAGGCATTAGTGTAATTAAAAAGGAGGAAATGAAAAGTAAAGAACAAAAAGTAAGGGAGTTCCTTAGATTGCCTCTTAGTTGGGGAATGGTTAAACAAATTGTGCTAGATGAATGTAATAAAATATTATTGGGTAGTTAGAAATCATGAAGAGCCAGTATCAGAGAATCCTGAGAGGGGAGGGGGAATACACTGGACAGGGGAAGGAGGATGAGAGGAAAATATCTCATATAATCAGGGTGCACAAGTAGGCATCTATACAAACAAGGAGGAGGAAATGAGAGGGGAGCAGCTAACATCTGTACTTTCATCTAAACTAGTTAAAGGAAGAAAGCATATACACAGAGTTGGGTACAGAAATATATATTCAATGAGTAAATAGGAAAAGGGAGAAGAGGACAGGGGAAATTCAAGGGAAGCTAGCTTAAAAAATATTTTGGGAAGATAATGGAGGGCCTAGTGTGCTATGGTCCATAGGATCACAAAGAGTCAGTCATGACTGAATGACTGAATAACAAAGATTAAGAAAGGGATTTTTCCTTAGCAAAACAAAGCCTAAGGATGTAAAAAATGTATATTTATAGCTCTTTTTGAGGTGGCAAAGAGTGGGAATCTGAGGGTGTTACCTATAAATTGGGGAAAAGATGAAGAGGTTATGGTATATAAATGTGATAGAATAGTACTGGACTTTAAGAAATGATGAAGTAGATGGTTTCAGAGAAACTGAAGATGTGTATGAACTGATGCTGAGTGAAGTAAGCAGAACCAGGACAGCAAGTTTTATAATGATATGGTAAAAGCAAACAACTTCCAAAGATTTAGGGACTCTCATCAGCATAATGATGATTCTGAAGGACTGATGATGAAACATGCTATCCACCTCTTGACTGACAGATGAAGGACTCAGAGTGAAGAATGAGGCAAGGTTTTTTGGTGGGGGAAGGGGGATGTGACCAATGTGGAAATTTGTTTTGATCAACTACACATTTAATATGAAGTGGTTTTTCTTCAGTTTATTTGGGGGAGGGGTAAGAATGGGAGGTTGGAAAGGCAAATTTTTGCTGATTGAAACATAATTTTTAAATTGCTTACTTCACGAGAAGCAAACAATCACCCTCAAAGCACAGGCATATGCTTTTCCTATCACCATTTACTCCAATCTCTTGATTTTACTTTTTATCTATCTAATCCTTTTTTTTTTAATCCCTCACTGGTAATATTGTGGTTCATTTGCTTGATAAATAAGTGAACTCCCTCCTCTTGTAATATCCAAGTTTCTTTGATACAGCATTTCTGGATTATATAATTCCATTTCTCAGTGAGACAAATCTGGAGTTTGCACCTAATTGTATTCTATGAATTCCGTGTTCCTGAACATTACCCTTGTCATCACAATACTTTTGGGCAATGCTCTTGAAATTTGGTGTCTGACCACTTTGTTTCTTTTCTGTTTTTTTGTTTTGTTTTGTTTTTTGGTTTGTTTGGCTTTTTTTTTTTTGTGAGGTCAACGATTCCGAGATTGTCTCACTTCAGTCTATCCTTTAAAAATATTTTTAGATGCTTTTGAAAAACTTTCCTATCACTTTCCACTACTCTTTCCCAATATAATGTTCCCTTGTAACAAAGTACAGATAATCAAAACAAACCAACCCTTTGACCATACCTGACTGACATGCTTAATTCTATACTTATACTCCATAACCCCTCTACTGAGAGGAGGAAGGTATGTTTCCCTTATCCTTCTCCTCAAATCCAGATTGTTTATTGCAATGACATGAATGATGATCTCTTCTAGTACTTTTTTCCTTTATGTTGTTGTGGTCCCTGTTCCCCTGGTCCTGGTTATGTTCTGCTGCATTAGCTCATATAAGACTTCCCAAGCTGCCTTGTCATCATTTCTTAACATCCCAGCATTGACTGTTTTGGTCTATTATCACTGTTACCAGCTAGATGAACATTTGGTAAAGGTCATGAAAGAAAGATAGATGAAGACAGACCAAAAAAAGTCTATGTTTCTTTAATTTGTATATCTCTTATTAGTGATTTGGGGCATTTTTTTCTATATTGTTGTTGATAGATTCTTCTTTTGAGAACTGTTTGAAATCAATTCCCTCTAGATTTTAGATAACAGAAGTTTATCAAAGATACTTGAGGGAAGTTTTTCCCAGGCAAGTTTCTCTTCTTATTCTGATTACAACTGACTTAATTCTTGAAAAAGTTTTCTGAACTGTCTATCAAAAATGAGAGGTAGCTTGGTGTAGTGGATATAGAGCTGGCCTTGGACCAGGAAGACCAGGATTCAGGTCTTGCTGATACATCCTGACTGTATGACCCTGTGGAAGTCATTTAACTTCTCAGGATCCCTGCAAATTCTCTAAGACTGGAAGTTGAAGAGCTGGTGCTAGCCTACACTAGTAGAGGCAGCTTCCTCAACAGGTAGTTCCCTAGACCAATGAAATCACAGGTTGAGCCCCTATTCCTAGAATCAAAATGGTACATTTTGTTCTTTCTATCTCTTGGTTAGTTTTGAATTATCCAACACACCACAGATGTGAAACATGACTCCTCCCATTCTCCTTCAGTTTGGTTTGGGGGCTGGAGGAGTGCCGTGAGTTTTATGCGAAGGCCCAGTGTGTTCCCTTTCCCCTCGCTTTCCATTCTTCTCTTAAGCTCATCAAGACAAGAGAAGTGCTCCCCCCCCCTGATGATATCAGGGCTCATGTTATCCCCTTATATTAGAATGTAAGCAGCTGGTCTTGCTTAGTCAATGATCATTGTTTATCCATGTTGAGCTTTTTATGTTTCTCTTAACTCCTATGTTTGAACTTCAGAGTTTCTTGTAGCTCCATTCTTTCTCTTTAGGAATGCCTAGACCTCTATCTCATCAAAGATCCAATTTTTTTTCCCTGTAGAACTACAGTCAGAGTTGATGGGTAGCATTCTTGGCTGCAAGCCCATTTCTCCTGCTCTCTGGAATGTCATATTCCAGTTTTTTGGCCCAGATGCCAAAATGTGTGTAACCTGGACTGACCTCTCCTTCTTTCTGGCTGCATGCAACATTCATTCCCTGACCTGGAAGCCCTGGATTCTGCCTGGGATCCTGGGAGTTTTTACTTTAGGATTTCCTCCAGAAGAAGAATATTGGACTCCTATTTCCACCTTACCCTTGGGTGGCTTTCTTCCAAGATCTCTTGCAACTTGTCTGGACCTTTTTTTTGCTCAAGGCATTCAGAGAGTCCTATGATTCTTATTTTCTTATTAGTTTATTTTTCTTCTTATTATTATTTT